GTATCAAATGTAACGGCAGTTCTGCTGATTTACCTTCATCTAATCTGAAAAGATTTCATGGAATGACCTGGAATTTTATAACATAGTAATCAGTGATTTAATTTTCCTGTTTTCAAGACTGAAGAACTATCTTATAGGTTAAAAAAAAACAAACCTAGAACTATTAAAAATCAGTGCAAATGTACTGTATTAAGAGCTATAAAATGATACTATAAAATTTTTAGAAAAATCAGCTTTGTAAAAAATAGGGAACAATTAACATTTCTTCATATATAAGAACAACTCCAGTTGGCTGGAGTTATAGAAATCCTAAAACTAGAAAAAATAGTCTTCTATAAAAATTCCTGCTTATGCCTGTTTTTTTTTTCTCGAGATATTCTTTTGTTGATGATGACTACTTTTTGCTGTTACTTCAGAAAGCACTTTGGGCAGTTATTTGGGTAGTTAACTGTGTGATATAGAGGAGCCATATTCCAATACTGATTGCTAGTGGGAACTTGACTATATACATCTAGCTGCTTGAACAGGCTTCAGATCTAATTGTTTGTATCTTGCAGTGCTTTTAAATCTAGTTATGTATGTTTACTTCTTGGAAAATCTGCTGAGAACTACATACAAACAGCAGGCATGCAGCACAGGATCTGGAGGGTTAGGAAATAAAAACAAGATGTGAATTTGCAAAATATCTGTGTATTTTGCCTTAAGACATAAAATAATTGTGAAAAACGTAATTAAAACTTGTTTTCCCATTTCTTAAAGTTGAACACCTAAAAGATAATGCTAGAATGACATTCAGATAACATTGGATGTTGAGTTGTCATACTGTCTTCATTTTTTTTGTTTTGCTTTTGTTTTACTTTATATTTCTAAATTCAGACTACAGTTGAAATTGTGAAGATACATTTAAGTCATAAAAATAAAACCCACAGCATAGGCAAAATAAATTCCCTTGGTTTTAAAATCCTTCCCAAGACCTACCTGTTATCTTGCAGCCATAAACTTCAAATCTCAGAGATACTCCATTTTCCCAAGACACAGGTCTAATTCGCACAAACCGCGTTAAAACTGGTTTGGCAAAAGGTCTGTAAACAACATCAGTGGGATTGCTATTCCCTTGAAACACCTTTGCGTGGAAAGAAAAAGTATATATTTGTTAGGCTTTCTCTTAAATGGCGTTTATAGTTCTGTGTTTTACAGATAGTTACAATACAAGGTCTAACCAGGGTTATTTTGGAGGGGGATGAGACAAAAGGTCTGCATGGGGAACTATGTCATTAAACTCCTAACACAATTTTTGCAGACAAATGAGTTTTCTATGAGGAGGAAACAAGAAGATGTAAGGTGTTCAATGATACTAAAAAGCACCTTCCACCCGCAGAGTCCTGTAACACACCCTAATGCTACAGAACAGGCCAGGAAAGCTCAGGGCCATCTTGAGAACAGGAGCTCACCTGAGTGCAATAAGATTCTGACCACTCCCAGCCTATTTTCAGGTGTTCCTAATGCCCAGATTACATGCAGGAATGATATACACTGGTCTTTACCACCCAAGGACTGCCATGTTCTGGAAGAATCCTTCAATGCCTCATTAGGTCAGTTTTATTTCTTGTATACTCATAGAATGATGCAAAAAGCTATGGAACCTCAGGCCCAAATCAAGTGTTTGGATTTCAATTAGACCACACAAAAATCCTATATATAGTTAGGATAAAAATTTATATATTTCTGTTCTTGGGCTTAAGAGTTTTGCAGAGCGTATCATGCAAACCTTGCTTTGTTAACCTTTAATTTTTAAAACCTTTTTAACGAGTACTTGGACTCTCTGCCTCCTTGCATACTGAGATGGAAGTCTGTTTAAATCTGTACAGCAGACTGTAAGATTTTCTCTGCATCCCCTGAGACTAACAGTCAAATAAGATGAACAATAAGACTTCCACAGCAAGGGACAGGATTGTGCTGTGCTTTCATGTTGAGGATCCTGCAGACGTGCTCCCTCCTAGCAGAGCCAAAACCTTGCAGTGTTCTAGTCCAAAGAAGGTGATTCAGCTTCCTGCTTCTTCCTCATGCAGAGAGGACCAATTTCCTGTTGTTTTCCATGGATACAAACCCCTCTCCTTTTATGGGAGATTCTTCCATTTCTTAAACACACTGCCTACTTTCCTGTTTGTTACTTGCAAAAAGTGCTTTAACTTGGAGCAGAAGCTGACAGCACACAGTTGTCAACTCAGGCTCAGTTATATCTCAAGTAATTTAATACAGGAGTTTCATATCTAGCAAGAGATTTTAAATGGAGCTTTGTTTCTTTTCAGCAACTTTTTGCTGTAATTTTCTCAAGGTCTGCATCTGACTGAGAAAGTCTTTTCTCCAAAGTACACAGCTCCTTACATGTGGTTAGTGCAACACGTGTGTGAGGCTGCCTCAAGGAGATCTCCAGCTACCTGATTTTGTTGTTCCTTCAGTAGCCAAGTCTCCTTTAATTTAAATAACAATATCAGAAAGAGACTGGTGTGTAGCTTTCTCATCCTGATCAGCAGCAAAATATTGCCATTTTCAAAATGTGATTTTTTTTTTATAAACCCTTTGAACAACTAACATAAGTTTAGGAAGTGTTCTCACTAATAAAGGACAGCACATGCAAGAGAAACTCATGTAAAACACACTCTTGGAAAGTTTACAAATTGAAGCTAGTAATGAAAATCCTGCATTTTGAAAGAGGCATTTATTCAGATTATGGGAACCAGAGCCAGGAAACTCTGTGTCTCATACCAGACAAAGTGTTGGCTCCTCTTGTGAATTTGGGCAAGTCAGTTATTGTACTTTTATATATCATTATACAGTACCCACATTGTGGCATTTGACCTTCTAAAGTTCCTTCTCTGTGAAACCAGGATAATACCTGTCAAAGAGAAGCTTTCAGGATTCATTTTTTATTGTTTTACAAAGTGCTTCAAAGAAGAAAGATGTATGTGTTAAACACTGCTGCCATTTTGATTAGATAAATGCAGTGGACTTGGCATAGCACTTACAGATGAATCAGGGGCAAAACAGTAACCAAATATTTAGAGCTAGATATGGTTAAAATGATAATGTTTAATAGTACACAGCTCTTCTGGGTCTTCACAGAAGTGTCACAAAAAAAAAGCTATTTTGAAGGCAGGTACCACAAAACCTCTCCAGTTGCATCAGACCCTGGTAGCCTCTAGGGATGTTGCTCCTCGACACATCCTGAGCAAGTTGGGAAGGGAGGCACAGCCTCTCTGGGGCTATTCATGTGACAGCTGGAGTAGGATTTTCTCAATAACAACCTTTATGCTCAAGGTATAATGAAGATTTTTTTTACGAGTGTCTAAAGCTGTTTCATTGGGAGGTCACAGAGAGCAAATCTGCTGATAAATGGAAAGGTGATAAAAATCTGTAAGGATGGAAAGATGTGCCTAATTATCTGTCTGCATGACCCTCATCACCAAGATGCTTGGAAATCTAATAAACTACTAATGACTTGCTAGCACTCCTGCAAGACAGTATGGCTAGGCACAGGGAGCTGGGGTGCTGACATGCTGCATATACAGAGCTTCACTGAAGATAAGGGACCTACATATTTTTTGAAAGGTTCCCCATAACGTTTTTCTCAAGGTCACATAGAAAATCTCTGCCAAACTAGGAAACAGCAGCACACTCCAGGGACAAGACCCAAACCACTCAAATTTTGGTGGGTTCAACAGACAGGGACCTGGCAGCCTTTCCAGCTTCTCTAGGCTTTGGATAAATTATTTTTGTGCTCATTACTACTGAGACAATTGCTAACTTTTGGATTAGGGACATTGTTAACTCTGACCAACCTGATTAAGCCTGTGATACCTTATTACTCTTTTTTTAACAGCTGATAGTAACCAAAGAGTTCAACAGCCTATTTCTTGGGCAAAGAGAGGTAAAAGAGGACAGACTTACAACAGGCTTGTTTCCCTCCTTCAGTGTAATCCAGTCCTCTCCATTGGAGCTGACATCTACACGGTATGTTTTCAGATAATATTCTTTCTTTGTTTCTTTTGAGATGGCTCCTTGGGTCCCAATTCCAGAAACAAAGCGGAGAAGGCCTAGATCTACCTGTGGTAATGAATGAATTGGGATGTGAGGACAATCAGTTCAGAGCATGACAACACTCCAGAAGTGACATCTCCTCCACCCCTCCATGTCTTACAAAATTAATAAGGATTTTACATAAAGGAAATTGCAACATATTGTTAATAGCATAGCCATAATCTCCTCTGTTGTAAACGGTGTCATCAGAGGAGACAGGAACATTTGCTTAATTAGCCAGGAGGGCTATTCACATTCTAGAGAATTATCTTTCCTCTGTTGGGGAGGAAGCAGAGACCCCACCAGTGCAAGGGGGAACCATCAGACTGCAGAGAATTTACTACAGAAATTCCTCAAGGACCAGTCTGGTGAACAGCCTTATTTAATACTTTCATTAACTGGCTTGCATAGATGCTACTGAAATTTGCTAAGGACACAAAGCTGCAAGGCATTGTTGTTACAGGGGAGAGTCATGCACTGAGAACTGACTGACCCTGAGGACTGCAGTATTAGAGATGGGATGATCAAAGTCATGCATGTAGGGAATGATAACAAGACTTCTGCTAAAACCCAGGAGGTCATCATTTGCAAACAGAAGAGGAGAAAAGAGTCCCATGGTGTATTAGTTAGTCACGAGATAATTATGAATCACTGTGATTTTGTTGGGAAAAAAGCAAATTAATTTCTTGTACCGTATGATGTATTCGAAGAAAACAGAAAGATGCATTAGCACAAGTGCAATAATTCTGTTCCAACCATCAAATGTAATGAATTTTAATCATTAGAAAATAATGGTATTTTGAACTTGCTGAAGAAATGATCACTGCAGTGTGCACATGAATGAGTGTTATAGACCTTCTCTCTTCTTCACTCTTTCTCTTTCTCCTTCTCTCATGAAGTTACATTGCAACCAAAAGGACAAGTGATTTAGGCTAAAATTCCCTTCCTCCAGTTATTTATTTGTCATCCAGGCCTGTTTCCTCATCTAGTTCATCATGTGGCATCACAGAGTACGTATCAGCATAGCTGGGAGGATGATGTGTGTACATGAGCGCAGCTATTCAAGTCAGTTCTGCTGGCAAGAGAAACCTTTGTCCCAGTGCACAAGTCCTGCTGCCAAATGGCTGAAACTAGGCACAAACTTTTCTCACAGCCAGATTGGTGGCCACAGCTTTGAGACACCTGCCATTTCCTTACAGTCCTTTTTTTTTAGCCATAACAACAAACCAATTAAATACCTCACCCTCTTTCTGTGCAGCTTAGAACATTCTCTTTGTTTCCTGGAGCAAACCATTTAATTTCAAGATAAAATATTCACAAATATTAATTGGAATAATTTATTCCCCTAAACTTCAGTTGTCCAGACTTTAGTAGGATAAAAATAGGTTGAATTAACCCTTCTCCAGTGAATGTCCTATTAATGTCTCAGGCTTTTTCATTATTTCCAAAGTACGCAGGATGCAGAATATATGTTCCCACAGGCATCACTCTTCCTGGATGTATGTCATATATCCAAAGGCACTGGAGCAGTTAAATCAACATGCTCTGCATTCTCTCTCAAAAGGCTGAAGGAAGTGCTATTGAGGACAGACTGGCTGCTCTCTCAATGCCCATGTCATATGCAAGACATTCTGAAGACTTCCAACACAAGAATAGCAGCCTTGTGTGGGACAGATAGAACCAGCTTTCAGTGAAAAGCCCCTGCCCCAGTTTTTAAGACTGGCAAAGTCTATATGTAACATTTTAACCCTTGTGTTTAGAAGTGAAATACTGCAACATTTTGTTTTGTAGTGATAAAAAAATTCAGTCTTAAAAAAAAAAAAATTCCCAGCGCTGCCTTACAAAAACAATCAAGTGATTTAAAGTAACTAGAGAGTCTCAGATGTTAGATTGTTGCAATCTGAAAGTTAATGGGGGAATCTGGGCATCATTGCGCCGAGCAATCTCAGCTTAACTTCAAATGCTCTCCAAACTGTACTCTGCTGATTGTGAAGTGTGCTGCACTGAGTTATGTCCAATACCACATTCACTTCCAGGCTGAAGTGCACTTGAAAATCTGGAAGTCTGAGGGAGTGCAGAGCTAAGTTATTTAAATGATCTGCTTCTCTTACAATTTGAAACAGCTCTTCAGTTTTGAAATGATTAGGGTCCCAAGCCTGTACCATTCCAACTGATTTGGAATGATTCTAGTAGGGGCTTTTTAATATACAGTAAGTACTTCATTGTGAATATAGTCAAGCAGTGGCCTGTTACAAGAGTTCTAGGTATTTGAAGCCAAGTTCAAATCTAACATCAGGGGTTTGGGGGAAGATTTGATTAATTGATGTCTGAGCTAACAATTTCAGCTATCAGTCACTGACCATTCGGATGGCTCAGGCTTGTTCCATCAAAGAATTTCAGGCCCCTAAATTTTACTTCATCCCAAATGCTGGTATTCAATATACTGTCTTAACTCCTGGGGCACTGAATATCCTACAGCATCTATCCCACTGCCCAGAACTAAGTCCTAAACACACAAAGGATATAGACATTTACCTTCATGTCTAAAAGCTGGCAGAATTCAAAAAGCAGGCAGAAATTCTCCTGCCAGAAGTTAATAGCTTACTGGGAGAGAGGGACTCTGAGAAGACCTCTATTTTAGCGCCTATAGGCAGGGAAGAGGCAACCTCATTAGCGCTCCTGGCTCCAGTAACAGTAACACGGTAGAGGAGGAGGGAGGCATCTCTGGTTCTTAGGGAGAACATCTCTTCACATAGATGTGCTCTCTCTGGATCAGTAAATCCTTACGTGCTTCTTGAAAACTGGAACGATGTCGACAGTAGCCCTCTCCTGGAGTGCCTGGAGGCTAGTGGCTGGAGTGACTGCACGTCACAGCTTTAAACCCCTTGCAAAAGCAAGCTGTAACCCCAGACCTGCCACAGGCCAGAGGGTGTTTGCTCACAAGCTGATGGAGGAAAAAAGAATAACCTTTCTCTAACACTGTTTTGTGAGAAAGGAGCAGAGCAAACAAGAAAGGTGGGGCTAAGCAGCAGAGAAGCAGAAGGGTTGGAGATTTTAGTACTAACTCCATGTCTGTGCAGAGGTCCATGAGAGAGGTAGTGCTTGAGGCATTTTCCTCCCATTGACAGCTCTCCGCAGTGGCCTCTGGAGGAGAACCATGCCTCTCCAGGTGCATACAAACAACTGCAACACTGAGCACCCCTCTGTGGTGCCTAAGTACATTTGAAAATTAAGCTCTAAATGTACCAATCTTCTTCCCTAAGTCAGGTGACAGAAATAAATTATGTAGAAGACTACCTTGGAAACTGCATGACATATCTTAAGGGCCTGTTAACCTCACCTCCATTAATCACTTGATACTGTATTTTATTTTCTTTCCACTGCTTTTTGAAACTTTGCTTTCTGTAAAATGCAAAATTTGGCATAAAATACACATTCTAAATGTCACAGGGACTGCGCAGAGTTGAAGTTCTACCATATCAACTGCTATTATCAACTGGAACCTGAAGGTACCAAAATGTAGCAGTGGTAAGACAAAGCTCTTCTGCACTGTGGTATCCAGAGGAATAACTGCAGGTTGGAATTCTTATGCATTTTGGAGGCTTCTGCTTTTAGAGTCCAACCGGCTCTGTAATTTCCAGTCAGCTTGGTATGGCCTCTCCACAGAGGTCTCCTCACATCCAGTCTCCTTCAGCTGAGATAGTAATACAAATCTTTAACAACCAGCTTTTTGTTTTGGCCTTCTTGTCCTTTTTGTTTCAAAAACTTGTGTTTCAAGATAAAACGTACTGTGGAGAGAAGCGGTGATGAAATATAGTACTTCTGAAGATGAACATCAAATGCATTTCCCTGCAATTATTTGACATTTAACTTTCTGCACATATGATAAACAAACATCTGGTATTTATTTTAGAGGATTCAAGTGATTTTGTAAGTTATTGCATGCTGTATGGCTGTGATCTGAGATAGGCACCTGTCTGCAAACCTGAAATCTTGACATTTCATTTCTATGAAATGTCCATCTTTGACTAACTGCAGTATGTTGCTCGTTGTTTTTTCACATTTTGTTCACTTTCATTCACATTAAAAAGCACATCTCTCTTGGAAAATGATGCCTTAGGGCCTTACCCAAAAACACAACCTTTGATAACTACCTGTGCTGCAAAGTGACTGTCTTTGCCTATAGGAATGGGCCCCTAACTTACAAGAAATGAAGAACATCTCAAGTGTGTATTTTTTTTCCAGGAGAGAAATGCTCATGTAAAAAAATCCCCAGTTGTTCTTATTTCTAAAATTAATTTCTTTCCTGTGAAAGCATATTGCAAGACACTAGTTGTAACTACATATGAATTACTTCCTCTCTATTAATTCTGCAGTATCTTTTAGCATGCAGGAAAACATATTTCTATTGCTGTCTTACTGTCTCCAAAAAATGTGGGCGTGTGACACATTTTTAAAACAAAGATATGCAAAGGGTGGCATATGCATTTTATTAGAGACCAGTTAAGGAGAAGGAAAAGGAATAACATTTAGCTCTGCACAATGTATCATGTAGCAAATCTTAGCAAACTGATGGATAAAGAACAATACACAACACACCCAACTTGAAATCAGCATTGCTGCTTCCTGCCATCCTACATAAGCATGTCATAGTATGGAAGACCTTATTTTCAGAATGAAAATCTACGTTGCTGGATAAATTACAGTAACTGAGAGAGCTGTAGCAAAGGAACAGTTTTAACAGGATTTAACACTCCTACTGTAGGTCTGTTTAACAGCCTGAGAAAATAAAGCACAAAGTGCTGGAGTTTGATTAAGAACAGGAAGCTTTTTGTTGTAGACATCTCTTGTGGTTTGAAAAGCTGTATAATCCATCACTTGACACAACATACCAAAGTAAATATTTTTAGAGAACTGTGTCATTTCCCTAGATAGCATACAGTGCTCTCAGTCAGATTAACTGTTGTTGTGCTTCACCGTTCTTCTGTCAAATATTTAATTAAGCCAGAGTTGATCTTTTTTATTAG